GTGTGTGTGTGTAAGGGAGGACAGAGATGAGTTTCTGTCCCAACCGGATCCGATACAGATTTGCCTTCTGGAATACGGAAGTTAGCGATCCTGGGACTGGCAACTCCAACAGAAAAGATCATCCCCACCTTTTCACCTCTAAGCTCATGCCAACTGCATTAGCTTGAAACGTTCCCAGATTTCCAGATGGTTCAGTCATAAAAGACTCAACAAACCTTCTGAGCTGCTCCCTGTCCACGAGCCAGCACCCCACAAACTGAGACGTGTTCAGAGACCAGACAACAAAGCAGGTTCTCCCTCCCGTTTTGTGCCCAGACTGAAAAGAGGGCTGGCTCGAGGCAGGAGGGGAGCCCACGCCCGGGTGAGACAGGTGAGACTGCAGAGAACCGGGCAGCCAGCCAGCCGTGGCCGCGGCTGAGAAGCAAGGTTCTGTCCACGACATCGGCTCACACCTGCTAGCTGCTGAGCAGGAGCCACAGGTAACCCTGGCTGCACCACTTCAATCTGCGCACGGTTAACACTCACCCAGCACTGAGCTGCCTCAGAACGCAGGGACCTGAATCTGCTCTTGATGCTTAGGAAGCAGCATGATGGGGACGCCAGCGCGGGCGGGGACACGAGGAGGCAGATGCCCTTCAAGGACATGGGGCTTCCTGCGGGCACAGGAGCCAGCTGGTGCGGGCAGGGCGGCCACGTGTCACCGTACTCCCTGTGCCCACAGATCAGGGAAGACCCCGCTCACCAGCATGGGGTGGAGGCCCTTCCAGCATCCTTTAGGACCCCTGAAGACTCATTGCAGGTTATGTTTCTGTGAATTAACCCCCTCCCCTATCGAGTACGTTTCTCCCTCTCTTGAGTCTGGCCACCAGCCACTGGGATGGGGAAACAGATGAGGTGCCAGAGACCCTGCCCTGTTTCCAAGCTGCTGGCGCAAATCTCCCTGCCCCACCCACATCGCTGAGAGCAAACCTGCATATTCATGGCTTTCAAGTCTTTCCAGAGGCTGAGGGCATCTGGAAGGAAGGCTTCACAAAATGCAGTCTGGGTCCCCCACCCCCACCCCACCCCAGGTGGGTACTCCCATCGCCCTGCTGCCCCTCAGAGGGCCTTCATCACCCTTCCTGACAGCAGGGGTAGGGGTGGCACCTCAAAACCTCTTTGCAGCCCAGGTGGAACTTGGTGGATCTGGACTCCGATGAAGTTTAGCCCCTTGAGACCTAGACTTGAGGTCAGCTGTTTCCGGTGCTAACGGACTCCGTGTCCAACCAAAATGTGATGTCAGTGAGAACTTCAATCACCACCAGCATCTCCTGGTGGCCTTCCCCATATCACATCAGGAAGGCAGGGTCCGGTGATGCTCTGGCTGGGATACAGGCAATGCCCAGAACTCAGCACTTTACAAGCTTATTAACCCCACGCTCAGCCCACACACAACCACACAGCTGAGGAGGGAGAAAGCACTAAGCTAACAATGCAAATTCACACCTTTGGCAGCTATCCCTAACGTGTCACTGACGTTTAGGCAAACGAGCTGAGAGGGCAATGGAAGACACCTGGGAGCAAAAGGCAGGAGTAAATCTGCAGCGAGAGACGAATTCACACTTTCCCTCCTGGCCTGAGCATCCCCAGCATGTGACCAGGAGCCAAGGTCCACTACTCCCACCCTGGCCTGAGGGCCTGGCGCTCTCAGAATAAACCTTTTTTCCTCTATGTCTTTCTTCCTGCTGTCCCAAAGGTCCTTATAAAACAGCACTTTCTCTGTCTCACTGGAAATTTAGCCTTTTCCAGACTTTGCAAGTCCCTGGGCTTTTACTCAAAGGACACCATCACTGTGATGCCCATGCCCAACGAACAGCTTTGTCCCAACACAGTCAACCAGAACTTCCAGGCCAGGATACAGTCCTAAATGTCCCACTTGGATTGTGGTTCCATTAATACCCTCAGGGAGTGTGCTCCACATGTTGTCAAGGAAAACAGGGATCACAACAGTTCTCAAAGAGCAGCCTGGTGGTATCTCTGCCCTGGCTTCCAGTGAACGTCTGTGGTTCCCCGAGATCCCAAGCTCCCAAGCTTCACGGGAGCCCCCCCTTACAACTGTCAGCCGAGCTATATGATATAGACGCAGTATTTCTTACGGTGCGGAAGCGCGGTACACACATAGAGCTCTGTAAATGTTGGATGAATGAAACAAATGGATACTGATGGCAGTTACAGTGCAACCGGAAGGCCTCCGGGGACCAGCCCTGGCTGATCCTGGTGAATTTCTAGTCATTTGATGTCGAGGCAACTGAAGGCATCAGGAGGATTTTGCCTCATATACATTTACATCCTGACTACTTCCTAAGACGATTCAGAGTTGCTAGCAGTAAAAACAGAAGCACAGTTAGATTTTTTTTTAGAACACACACATGATTAATTGAAGATAAAAGACAGAAGCCCAGCATGGAAAGCCAAGTGAACAAGGAAAAGCAAGATCAAGAAATTCTGAATAAGGACGCCTCCAAGTTTCCTGCCAGGGAGGCAAAGAGAAGTGGGGAACAGCCGTGAGCTGGGGGAAGGCGCCCTCACACAGGTCTCTCCGTGGATCCTGAATTTGCTGAAATACGAACTTGCATAATAGACCCACCGTTGACCCTTCTTCCCAGTAGTTTGTAGGGGATTTGAAGCAGAAAATGACCTATTATTCTCAAAGGCTTTAATGTCACAGACTGTTTGATTAGCCTGCAAAGCAGCTGATGGAAGCTGCACCGATATTTAACTACCAGTGAGACCTTGTGTAGGGCAGCCCTGGGCTCCCACACCCACAGACTGTTGTTCAGTCGATCAGTCGTGTCCGACTCTTGGCAACCCTGTGGAGTACAGCATGCCAGCCTTCCCTGTCCTTCACCATCTGCAGGAGCTTGCTCAAACTCATGTCCATTGAGTCGGTGATGCCATCCAACTATCTCGTCCTCTGTCTTCCCCTCCTCCTCCTGTCCTCAGTCTTTCCCAGCATCAGAGTCTTTTCCAATGAGTTGGCTCTTTGCATCTAGCATCACCTCCTCCAGAAAGCCTTCCCTGACCATCCTCCCTCCACAGAGACTGTTTTCTGCACAATACTAGAGGTCCTTTGGAACTTATTGGCACTTTCTCAGCTCACAGGAGGTATGTGCACCTCTTGTGAGCCCTGTGGGGCTCTGAGCCTGCACCTCCTTGCAACCTTTGTATCCTGAAGATGTCTGGTGCCTGGTAGGACCTTGGCAAATTTGCGTGTGATTGCCTCGTTCAAGGAATCAGACGGCTGCAAGGTTGTAGCGCTGTGATTGTTCAACTGAGTCAGGCAGGAGAGATAAGCTACTAAGGAAGCTATCTTTCAGGTCAATCAAAACATTAAAAATCAGGCTGTGAGCTTTTTTTTTTTTCTAATCACTGCTGAAATTTATCACATTTTTTTTCCTTTGTAGGCTTTTAAAACAGAATTTTTAGGCTCACAGAAAAATTGAGGGGAAAGCACAGAGATTTTCCACGTACCTCCCACCATCAGCATCCCCACCTGAGGGATGCATTTTTTACAATACATGAAGCTAGGCTGACATGTCATTATCACCCAAAGTCTACAGTTTACATTAGGCCTCACTCTCAGTGCTGTACATTCTATGGATATGGGCAAGTTTATAATGATAACGGGGTTCCCTAGTGGTTCAGCTGGTAAAGAATCAGCCTGCAATGCAGGAGACAAGGATTCAATCCCTGGGTCAGAAAGATCCCCTGGAGAAGAGACAGGTTACCCACTCCAGTATTCTTGGGCTTCCTGGTGTCTCAGACGGTAAAAAAAAAAAAAAAAAAAAAAATCCACCTCCAATGCAGGAGACCTGGGTTCAATCCCTGGGTTGGGAAGATCCTCTGGAGAAGGGAACGGCAAGCCACTCCAGTATTCTGGCCTGGAGAATTCCATGGACAGAGGAGCCTGACGGGCTACAGAGTTCATGGGGTCATAGAGTCGGACATGACTGAGCGACTTCCACTTTCATAATGATACAGGCTGCCCTGGTGGCTCAGATGGTAAAGAATCCGCCTGCAAAGCAGGAAATGTGGATTCAATCCCTGGGTCAAAAAGATCCCCTGGAGAAGGAAATGGTTACCTAATCAATATTCTAGCCTGGAAAATTCCATGGACAGCAGAGCCTGCAGGCTCCAAAGTCCATGGGGTCACAAAGAGTCAGACACGACTGAGCAGCTAACATTTTTCACTTTTTTTTCATAATGACATGCAGCCATCATGATGATATTGTACAGAGTATTTTCAGAGCACTAAAAATACTCTATGTTCTGCCTACTCATCTGTCCCCTCCCCAAGCCCCTGGCAACCACTCATCTTTTTACTGTCTCCATAGTTTTGCCTTTTCCAGAAAAATGTTATATTGTTGGAACCAAACAGTATGCAGCCTTTTCAGATTGGCTTCTTTCACTTGGTAAAACGCATTTAAGGGTACTCCTTGTCTTTTCAAGGCTTGGGAGCGCATTTCTTTTTAAACACTAAATAATACTCCATTGTCTGGATGCACTGTAGTTTATTATCCATTCACCTCCCGAAGGACATCTTGGTTGCTTCCCGGTTTTAGCAATTGTGAATAAAGCTAACATAAACATCCTTTGCAGGCTGAGTGTGGACACAGGCTTTCAGCTCCTTTGGATAACTACCAAGGAGCATGGTTGCTGGGTTGGATGCTAAGACTCTGTCTGGGTTTGTAGCTGTTTTCCAGTGGCTGCACTGTGCTTCAATCCCTCCAGGAACGAATGAGTTCTTGCTGCTCCACGACTTACTGAGAGCTTTTTTTTTTTTTCATCTTTCTTTTAAATAGAAAGGGTCAGGGTATCAGAGTCAATCACTCATCATATAGGCCAGCATCTGCTGGGAGTAACTAGACACACTCCAGATTAGGGGTGGCCTCAGTTAATGAACCGACGGACTGCTAATCGGTGGAAAATTCTCTTCTGATTTCTCACCTGCCCTGTGGTGTTCATAAAATGCAGACACTGAGCTGTGGACACAGAGGTGTTTCAGCAGTGAGACTGTGTCTTCGGTCAGGAGACAAAGCTTCCTTGGAATCTTCCATCCTCAGCTTCTTCTGATGTGTCATCACCACCATCCATCTTTTGTCCAGTGCTTCCCGAGTCCCCGCGAGCATGTCCCAGCCACAGGCCAGGGTCCTAGGATGTCGTTGTGAGCAGGACACAGTCCCTGCCTGCAGGGAGCTTGCAATCCACCTGGGGAACCAACCAACAACGAGGACCAGCATCCTGCCATCATAAGACACGCCTCTCAGGGCCCCTAACCCTGAAAGGGCAGGGGGTACAGCTGTTGAGCAAAAAAAGGAGAGACCAAGGCCACCGAGGAGCCCAAGAGGTGGCTCCGAGGCATGATTTTGGTTCCATGTTGTGTGTGCCCTCCAGGACGGATCACATCCTGACATGGCAGCTGGGAAGATGGGGAGAGCAGAGAGTCCAAGCACTGCTCCTCCGCCAGGGCAGAACCTCAGGAAGGGTGACCCTCTGCCCAGGCGGGGGCTCCTACATGACTCCTCGGGAACCTGAAAAGGGGCTTGGGTCCTGGAGGAAGAGGTGACTCCTGATCCACTCCCACTCTCCAAGGAGTCTTATCTGACCCCGTGTGGGTCTGACATCCTAGCTGCTGCCTTTGTGTGGCTTCTCCCCATGGCCTCTTGCTCCAACACAGACTTATGGGTCCTTGGGTGATTACTCCACCAGTGCCCAACCCCCTGCGGGGCCAAGACACTAAAAGGCAGGCTCCTTAGGAGTTCATCATCACTGCCACCCCAGGCCCAGCTTGGTGCCACGATGGGAGCTCAGCAGGCATGGAGTGAACAAATGCAGGGGTGTGCCATGTGGTGCTCCAAGAGAGGGCAGAGCCAGCTGGCACCGTGTCCTGGAGCAAGAGTGCATGACGCTAAAAGACAACTGGCAGACTGACTTCCTTGGTAGTCCAGTGGTTAAGACACCAAGCTCCCAAAGCAAAGGGCACAGGTTCAATCCCTGGTCGGGGAACTAAGATCTCACATGCCCACATGGCATGCCAAAAAAAAAAACCTGATTGGCAGACTTAATTTGGGGGTGTGAGGGGAACATTTAGTAATGTCCCCCAACCATGATAATGAATCTGAGTTGAGGTTTAAGGAATGAATTTGCTGGGCCAAATGGGTGGAGGCTGGGGAGAAATTTTTCCAGGTGGAAAGAACAGAGCACGCAGGGCAGGGGCAGACAGGGGAGTGGGGTGCACAGCAGAGTGGGAGGGGACGGGGCAGCAGGGCTAGATGAATCCAGGTGAGGGGCAGCGGTGGGCAACCTCCACTTCCAGGGCCTTCTGTGCACTTATTCAACCAACACTCATTGAGTAGCCACTGAGCCAGGCACTGTGCTGGGCCATGCAGGTCAATTAGGACTGTTGGTCTTCATCCTAGAAGCGACGAGGAAGAGCTGAAGAGCGTTAGCTGAGGGGCAGGTCACCACGGATCATCGACCATTCTGACTGCCAAGGCAAGAGAAGGGAGACCAGCAACGATCACTGAGGGACTCGGGCAGTAAGGGCCTCAGGGTCAGGCCTGAGCTGCTGCTGGGTGGCTGGAAGTACCACTCATAGACTGGGGGCAGGGGTGTGGTGAGGGAAGAGCTGAATGTGTCAGCAACAAGAGCCCAAGAGCACCTTTTGGAGGTTAAACCAGGGTGACACTGAGAGGATGTGGTACAGCTCAACTGACATTAACCATAAACCACCTGGAGCCAAACGCTGGCTTGTGACCATCAACCCCAGGTTTATGAGAACTCAGAGCACTTAAGGAGCCTGAAATAAAACCATAGAACCTAGCTTATTATGAAACCCACTCCAGTGAAAATGGGACGTTCATGCTCAGTCCTGTTTGACTTTTTGCAACTCCATGGGATTTCCCAGGCAAGAATACTGAAGTGGGTTGCCATTTCCCTCTCCAAGGGATCTTCCCCACCCAGGGATCAAATCCCCATCTCTTGTGTCTCCTGCATTGGCAGGAGGAATTTCTACCACTGTGACATCTGGGAAGCCGGAAAATGGGACAGGTTAGGTATTTAACACTGTATCACTTTGCTTCTTTCTTAGCAGCTGACAGTGATTATGTTAGCTTCCTCTTCAAATGGATTTCCTGCCAGTCTGCATTAGTCTTTTTTCCCTTCCCTGTGCACCATGGGGAACAACTCAGTGAGAAGCAGGGGACTGGGAAGGAAGATGGACAGGCCAGGTGGATTAGCTTGTGCAGGTGTGTGCAGTGTGTACTAGGATGCCGAAAGCAAAGCTCCACCTACAGTCTATGGAAAGGGGCTCCCTGATTAACAATACGCAGATTTCTAAAGTCGGGACAGTCTGCACGGCTTTTTGGAGGATCCTGAGGGACCCTGCTTTTCATGTACTGAAAACGGGCATCGACTGTTATTTCCAGGCTTCAAGGGTCATTCCGTCAGAGCAGAGCATGAAACCTTTGGAAGAGCCAGGGAACCACATGAGTGAGGGTCCCTCGAGCGGTACACACTTCAACATTTACACTTTAGGTGGAAAATCTAATGTTTCTGATAAAACTGCCTGATGTAAATGTTCTCACCTGTTAGAAGAGTAATAACAAAAGTACACAGCACTGTCGTTTATTCTGCGTCCCTAAGAGAAGGTGGGCGGTTCTCGGAAGGAGCCTCCCGCGGGCACAGAGGCTGGTGTCTCCCGGCTCTGGAGGCCCGAGAACCCGGCGGACTTCAGCCTCGTCCGTGGACCTGGCCCCGTGGCGCCGACGCCCGCCCCCGAGACCCGGGACCCGGGACCCAGAAAGCAGGTTTCCGCCTGTCGGCCGCCGCCAGGAGGTGCAGGCCAGCGCCGGGGGCTCCACCGGAGGGTGCCGCCACGGCGCTCGCGACGGGAGAGGCCGTCCCCTTCGGAACCCCCGCGGTCGGGCTCGCTATGCAGCCCGGGCCCGGTCCGCCCCGCACCCGGTGGCGGGCAGTGCGAACACGGCCGGGGACGGCCTCGCGGACCCACTTCCAGGGACTGTAGCATCGCGCCCGGAGCCCAGAAGACAGGGCCGGCACCGGGGAATATCAGCTGCCCGACTCGCGTGGAAGAGACTACCGCGCAGGACCTTCCCGCCTACCTCCACACACGTGGCTAGGGACAGCAACCAGGGTCCCCAAACCTGGTCGCCACCGCCCCACTTAAACATGGCGACCGCAGAAACTGCCTGGGAGGCGGCCCTTATAATCATGGCCGCCGCCCCACTTAAACATGGCGGCTGGAGAAACCGCAAGGGAGGAGCCCCTAACAAACATGGCCGTCTCCCCACCCATACGTAAAACGCCGACTCTGTTGGGTCACATACCTGGGGACGCCGAGCTGTGATTGGCCAGTCTTCTGGTGGCGTCACACGCCGCGGCGCGAGCCAGGGGCCGCCGGATCTCTTCTCCGCTGGAAAGGATTAGTCTGGGCGCGGGGCCTTGGCGGCGGGGCTAGGAGCGGCAGTGTGCCGCTCACACTCATGAGGAGCCGGAAGGTGAGGGGGGCGGAGGCCGCGTGGGAGCTGAGGCTGAGCCACAGGACGCCTCGGATGGAGAGGGGGAGGGGTCTCCGTCTGCGTCTCGACCCCCGGAAGGGGTCTTCCAGGCCACGCCCCCCGGGAGGGGGGTTCTCCCAGGCCACGCCCTTGGACCCCCCATATACTCAAGCACACACCAGACACACAGACGCGCGTACCCTACGCCCCCCGGTTGGGGGACTTTGAGAAGGATGTTCCCAGACCAAGTCTGGGATGGGGGGCTCCCTCTCCAGAGCTAGTCTGAACCCCGATATTCTGACGCTGCCTGACCCGGCGTCTGTCAGCCCAAGTTGGTGCACACGACGAGGGGTCCACCCCGGAGGGTGGAGAGAATTGAGGGGCTCTAGCTCCTGGTACTGGTTGCCGTCGGGAGGTCTGGGGCCCCGGTACTGGATACACCCTGCCTGGGGAGGTGGGCCTCCTGGGGTGGGAGCCGCACCAGGGCTCTCCTGGTCTGGGCTCGTTTTTATTGTTTGTACCTTTGACTCAAAAGTGGGTCTCCTGAAGACCCCATGTGGATGGCATTTTCCCAGTCTGACTTCCCTGACTTGTGATGGATTGTTTAGCTCCGCCGCTTGGGTATTCCCAAGAATCCTCCTGCAATGCAGGAGGTGCAGGTTTCATCCCTGAGTGGGTAAGATCCCCTGGAGGAGGAAATGGCAACACACTCCAGTATTATTGCCTGGAGAATCCCATGGACAAGAGGAGCCTGGAAATAGTCGGACACGACTGAGTGAGCTCTTGCTGCTTGCAAGATCTTCCATAGTCCTTGACTTGCAGCGTTTGTAGTGTTGCATCTGATTATAGATCTCTTTACAGTTGTCCTACTTGAAATTCAGTTATTTGAGATTGCTGGGTTTGTACATTGTTCCTCAATAAATTTGGGAAGTTTTCAGCCCTAATTTTTTCCAATATTTTTTATACTCTTTTCTTCCTGGTACTCCCATTTACATGTATGATGGTGCATTTAGTGGTCTCTGAGGCTCTCTTCATTCTATTTCATCCTTATTTCTCTTTGTTTTTTGGTTTGTGTAACCTAGCAATCTATCTTCAAGTTCTCTTATTCTTCTGGTCCATATCTCTTCTTGAGCACCGCCCACCCCAAACCCACCAGTGAATTTTTAATTTCAGCTATTGTAATTTTCAACTTTTGAGTTCCCATTTGGCTTTTTTATAATGTCCATTTTTTTATTTATAAACTCTATTTGATATGTCATTAAATCTTCTTTAATCATGGTTTCTCTTAGTTCTTGAACATGTTTAAAATGGCTGGTTTAACGTTCTTTTCTGATAAATCCTATATCTGATCACTGTCACAGGCAGTTTCTGTTACCTGCTATTATTCTAGTGTTTGGGTCTTGCGTTCCTGTTTCTTTGCATGCTTCCTAATTTTCTGTTGAAACTGGACGTTTGAAATACTATAGCAACTCTGGGTGCTGTGTCCCCCACCCCCACCCTGAGTGGTAACAAGCCCTCTGAGGAGCCGTTGCACCCCAAGATTTTTAAGGACTATTTTTAAGCACCTAGACATGTCTTGCTGCTACTGGAAAGCCTGCACAGCAACATGCCCCATAACCGACAGCAGAGTCTTGGCTCAGTGCCCCCTCAAGCCGCCAGAGCTTTCATGTGGGAACTCTGGTGCTAGGGCAGGGAGAGGGGCTCCGATGAGTGTGTGACCCCAGCAGGGTCCTCTCCCGAGTCTGAAGTGGGGGTGCTTCTTTTAAGGCTGTTCAGCACAAGCAGAACCTGAGCGTCAACACTTGGGTGATGGCAGCTGTCACTAGGGCCAGTCCATTTCCCCCCCACCCCACCTTGAGAAAGCCGGCGTGACCCGGGATCGATATATTTGAAGTTGGACTCTTAAGGGTGAGACCCATTGGTGTATCTGGGGCTCCACAGAGCTCTGGTACCACTGTCCTTTATGTCTCAGTGCAGAAAAGAATTCAGCAAGAGCAAAGTGATAGAGAAGAAGTGATTATTACAATGGATGCTTGTGTGGTTTACAAGTGGGTGGAAAAGGGTGCTGCCCCCTGAGAACTTAGTGGGCTACAGTTTCATAATCAAAGGAAAAGTGGACAGGAAAAAGAACTCGGTGTTTCTTGAGTAGGCATCGTGCTTCCATCATCAGCTCTTCCAGGTTGGGCAGGGGAGGTTTCTTGTCCCTACATGGTCAAGCAAGGTCCACAAATTATTGTTCTGTGTGTGCAGAGAGCACATCCTAGGGATTGTTACCTTACTGAGCTCACTGGGCAGGACGTGGGGCTCACGCCACCACTATTATTGTTTGGGGGCATGTCTTATACTTCTGTCTCATGGTTTTGTTGCTAAGCAAGCCCGCTTTCTTGAGTAATCGCTAACTTAATGGGGGTCTCCAATATTTTTTCTATTTACAATCCCCTAGTGGGATTCTCCAGGCAAGGATACTGAACTGGGTTGCCATGCCTTCCTCCAGGGGATCTTCCCAACCCAGGGATCGAACCTGTATCTCTTATATCTAAGGCTCTCGGATGGGGGCAGTGGTGGAGCAGGGCAGGGATGGGTGAGAAGTTGCTGTTAAAGGTTTCTCGAGGAGCTTGTGTGATTTCTGATCTCTCTTCCCCACTTTGGCACGTGCTGCCCCCCCACCCAGCAGGTCTGTGACTTCAACTCTAGGCCGCTGTGACCGAGGGCTGTCTAGTTTGCCCTCCACAACTGCCTCCTCCCTGTCACCCACCTCTCTCACTTTCAAGTTCTCACCTGAGCTTTCGTGTGGTGTTTGCTAAGTGTCTAGGTGTCCCCATTCTGGAACAGAGAAAGCAGTTAGTGAAGAAGCAGATGAGACTCGCATAAAGCCCAGTCTCATCTTCATTTTGATAGATGTGCGGGTTGTTGGCTCCAGGGAAGCTGAGGGAAGCCCGGGCGGGAACTCCCTTGTCATCTTCGCTGCTTTTCTGAAAACCTAAGGTTACTCTTAAATAAAATGATTGTAAGCTTTATTGTTTTAATTAATCCCTTCCTTGTTACTAGAAGACTTAATTTGCTTTCTTAGCGAGATAGCGGTGGGGTGGTTTGTCAGCTTCGAGGTCTGTCCGCCAGCAGCTGGAGCCCCTTCAAGATGATGGGATTGGGACCCCTCCCCTGAGAATTCAAGGAGGGAGCACGGAGGGGTGTCTTTTGCTTTTTTCACTGTTTACCAAGAACTCGGACACCCTGTAACAGTTTGAGAACTTTCTGAGCAGGGACACAGGCTGCCGTCTTGCCACGGTCAATAAAAACCTAGGGGTGGGAGGGGCCGTCTCGGTCTCTGACTGGCCTCTGGTCTGGCCCAGCTGGCAGGTGGAGTGCGGTCCTCTGCGCGCCTCCGAGCCCGGAGCTGCTCAGCTGCGTCAGCCTCAGCCCAGGACACCCACGTTGCCACGTCTGCCCGGACAGCATGTCAGGTGAGCCTCACCCCTCGGAGACAGGGCTGGACAGAGTGTCCACCTTCCCACGGGACGTGTTGCATTAGAAAGCCCGGGGCGAGGCCAACAGACCAGCATGAAGGTCACGGTGCTGGGACTGTGGGAGGACCCACCTCAGGGCTTGTGCTGCCCTCTGAGGGCAGTGGGCTCAGCGGCCTCGCCAGGCAGCCTGAGTGGCATGGGCACGGGCTGTGCTGCTCCCCACTGCGGGCAGACCCATGTCTGCCATCCAGGGTCTTGCAGGCCTGGCAGCCAGGCAGCCCCAGCTCCTGGAGCTGCTCCCTGAGCCATAGCCTGGGGTCCGGCTGCACCGGCCTGTTTCTCCCAGGTCACTGCCCCCTAAAGCTGCACTGAGTCAAGTCCCATTCCTTCGCCGGGATACAGAGTTCTGTCTCCTGGGAGCCCACATCCCAGCAGAGACAAACGGAAACTGGATCTTGGTTGTCGTTTCACTTGTCACAACACCCTTCGGGGGACAGCACTGAGCATGTCTGGACTTTGTCCCAGCCATCCATCTGGACACTGCCCCTTCACTGGGAACAGTGAAAGGACCCTGTCCTCGAAGCAGCAGGGACGCTGTTGGCCAGGAGCAGGACGACCAGCCTCCAGGGTTGAGGCGTGTTAATTGTATGCCATCTGCTTCGTGCCCCAAGGCCCGTCTGATGTCCCCTTGCATGTTCTCTCCTGACAGACTCCCTCATCACACAAAGCCACCGACAGGCGGACGTCCAAGAAGTTCAAGTATGACAAAGGTCACCTTGTGAAGTCAGAACTCCAAAAACACGGGAGTGACAGCGCTGCCACGCCCTCCGAGAGCCCGGGTACACACGAATCTTTGGCATCGACCGAGGATGGGGCATCACTTCTGGGAAAGGAAGCTGGCGGCTCCGCTCCTCGGGGGACAGCTGGTCCCCTCCCGGGACGCTGCGGAACCGAGAGCAATGCCAGCCCGGCAGAGACTGAGGACAAGCCACCCCCACCGCGACATGGAGCCCCTGTGGGAGGAGAGTCCAATGGTGGCTGCCCCGCTAGGGACGGGGCGGCGCTGGACCTGGAGCAGGGCCCCGCGGCCCCACTGCTCATGGACGGCAGCGCCCTACTGGACGACGACAGCAACCAGCCAATGCCTGTGAGCCGCTTCTTTGGAAACGTGGAGCTCATGCAGGTAAGGCCAGTGCCTCTCCCCCGACCCAGGAGGGGCATCCCCAGCAGACCGCACGCTCGGTCCTGACCTCAGTCCACACGTGTGCATGCTGCTCGGTGTGGATCACACACAGTAAGAACTGTCATGGGGGAGGAGAGAGCAAAACAGGTGCCGACTTGGGGCCCCACCCCCTAAGTCTGAGAACTGATGCCCTGGTGAGCACAGGTGTGGGCAGGCCTGGCCCCGTGAGTCTGGGCCCCGCTGTACAGTGGGAGGTCGTGGCCGTGGCCTGTGGTTCTCTGGGCAGCTCCCCACACTTGCCGGGCTGGCTTCTGCCTTTAAGCCAGTCCCTCTCCTTCCCTCCATCATGCAGTGGGGAATGGATCTCACAGTGGGGGCTGGAGCCAGGGGGCTTATGCCAGGTGTTTTCTGCCCTCCAAGGACCTCCCACCAGTGTCTTCATCCTGCCCTTCCATGAGCAGACGCGAATTTCGGAAAATGCATTTCAGAGCCAAAGACGACGATGAGGATGACGCCGATGATGCGGAAACGTAGAGGGTGAGAGGCACAGGCTGATTTCTGCACGTCTAGTACCGTTGACAGTGATTATTTTGCAGATTATGGGGTTTATTCAAAATACATCTCCAAGAGGACGTGCTGGTAATCAGCACTCAGCACTGACCCACACAGGTGGGCAGTCCCTGCGGGAGGCTGGTGCACAGGGGCTAAATGACCTCGGGTATAAAGCTGCTGTTTCCACAGTGATGTGTTTTCTCCCATCTCTACACGTGGTGGTGGGTTGAGCCAACTTCTCTCATAAATGAGAGACATCTCTGTCAAGAAAACTCTTCACTCAAGCTCTCTAGTTTTGATAACATGCAGGTTTATTTTCCATAATCAAAATTTGATCATTCTTATGACTGATTCAATGCCAGTTCTTAAAGAACTCTCCTTTATTTCTGTACACAAAGTTTATGTTTACTTTGGACATTTAGCAACATCCATATGAAAAAGAAATAAAATATATTTTGAAAATGTTTTTAAGGAAGTTTTCTGTCCCTTGAGCTGTATTCCTTCAGTGAGAAAGCTCATTCCATCCTGTCTTCTCTGCTGAAGGCTGGCTTGGTCCATGGGTCCATTCAGCAGCCAGAGTGGGGGGCCCCTGGGTACAGTCCCCCGAGCTGCGAGCACAGGGCTGTGGACTGGAGAGGACATGGCCCCTCTGGTGAGGCCGTGGGGTCTCTTGAGGCGGCAGGCATTGATGCGTCCCTCGCCCGTTTGGTGGGGGCTGCTCTCTGGCGAGGCCATGCTCTCGTGTGCCGTGGGGTTGCCGGCCACCGCTGCCCAGCTGAGCTAAACTGCCAGAGTCCCGGTGTCACAGCTCTCCCAGTGGGCTCTGGAGAGGGACGGGGGCCTGCTTGTCTGCCACCACCTCCTGTCACCGGCTGCTTGCAGAGGACACCAAGGCCAGGGACAAGGAGGGCGTCCAGGAGGAAACCTGTCCTGAGTGACTAGCACGGGAGGGGAGCGGCCTGCAGTCCCAGAGGCCGACCTAGGTTTTCATGCGCGAGTAGCAGCCTCGCTGTTTCTGGGCTGGTGGACACTTCTGGTTCAGTCATGATGGCCGCTAGACCCCATCCCCCTCAGACGTCCTGTGAACCACGTTTGGGAGCAAAGTGTAGTTGAAGTGCCCAGTGAGGCTCCACGCTGTCCTTTGACAGTCCACAGTACTGCCCCGAGATGCCTGTCGCCACAGTCACCGCATCCGTGTGACCGCTGTCCTGTCGGCAGCCGTGACGGCCCCTGCTCTGTGATTTACTGACAACAGACTGCTTTAACGATGTGACAGTGCTGCTTGTGAAGCACTTTGGCAGCAGCCAGGGACAGTAATTGACAGACGATTCTGCAAGAATGACGGTTGTGACTGCAGCGCTGGGATTCCTGGGGGTCGACCAACCTGCTTCCTATTTCAGGGGATTTTATGTTTCACGCACACTGGCTCCTGGGAGAAGCGTCAACCCTGCAGGACATGTGCCTCCTCATGTTCCCACCAAAATGCAAAATGTCACCTTCAGTCCTGGAAGCCCAAGTCCTGGCTCCGGGCAGCTTCTTACACATTCTGAGCCTTTCTGTCTCTAACCCACGATAGATGGTACGGTGGGTCGTCCCGCCCACCTCCCCGGCACCAGCTGGCTCCCCTAAGTCGCAGCTGTGGTGTCTTGTGGAGACTGTAGGGTCACGCTGAGCGCAGGGAATGCCCTGTGGACTCTGCTGGGTGTTGGAGGTGGCGGCTGGCACGTCTGTGTCCCTGACGGTCACTCCCCAGTGAGATGTAACCAGAAGAAAACCCCAGGTGTCCCTGTGAAGAGGAGCTGGGACCAGTGCGACGTGTCTGGGGAACCTGCTCTGTACTCACACTTCTGGACAGCACAGAGAAAACACCCCAACAGGCCAGCCTAGGGTGACAAGCAAGACCAAAGGAACACAGATCAGGCCCAGGATGAATTAAAGTTTCAAAAAGCATATCACAGTGCATGTTAAATTGCTCTAACTCTGAGTAATCTGCCCAGGGTGTCTGGGGTAGGTAGAATAAGGAGGGGGGTCCTAAGGAAGCTCTGTGGAGCCACTTTCCAGAAATGTCAGAAAGTGGCTGGAATGGATGCACCCCCGCAGCACAGGGCGTTGGGGGGGGGGGGTCAGTGGAGCTGGAGGGACCAGGGCCCCCGGGTGTGGCTGGGACTCCGCTGCACAGACAGGACCGCTGCGCTCTGGGGCGTCTGGCCCCTCCCACGTCCCCACTTCCCATCAGACCAGGTCAACACCATGAGCTGACGCAGCATTTCTCAAATCCCACACAGGACTGGCACTTTGTAAAGTGTGTGGAGGGACTTCCCTGGTGGCCCATGGAGACTCTGAGTTCCCAGTGCAGGGGGCCCAGCTTCCAGCCCTGGTCAGGGAACTAGATCCCACATGCCGCAACTAAGACCCGTGACAGCCAAGTAAATACATTTTAAAAGTTCTTTAAGAAATAATAATAAAAAAATTAAGTGTGTGTGTATTGCAGATTTGGGTCAGTTTTTTAAGTCGTTGACCCCTTATTTTTCTCATTTTTGTCATTCTCAATGAGGGCAAACTTTTTGACTTATTTTTTTTAATCTTTATTGCTTTTGTGATTATACAATAAGTATAAAAATTCAAGTATTACAAAATGTGACTTTAAAAAGTAAATTTTTAAAAATTATGAAATGATCATTTCAAAATCTTCAAGTATCATAAAATGCATGGTTTAGCAAATTGGTCCTTTGTGATTCAATAGCACCCCACTCCATCCCCCAGGATTCCTGCTGTTCACATGCTGTGTGTCCCTTTGTGACAGTCTCTGCATGACCAGCACAGGCATGTGATACACACGCATGTCACACTGGACATGGCCAAGCCACCTTCCTCGCCTGTACGCTTAACAGCCAGCTTCCCACATCTCACAAAACGCCTGAAACTGCTACAGCGTTTTGTGTTAGGTAGAGGTATCAGGTTAAATCATGAAATTAATCTGACCATTTCTGACCCATAAAAACAGCAACTTCCCATGGTCCAGTGTCATGCCACAATCAGCTCTCCGGATATTTGGAGGATTTCCCACTGTTTGCTGTTGGAAACAGTACAGCAGTGAATAAATATCCTTGTATTTTACCTCAAAAGTCACAACTCTTTCAAGCATTCAGAAAAGGCCTGAGGAAGGGGCGCTGCATTGCCTGGGGAGTGGAGGCCCATGGAGCTGAAGTCTAAACTCACAAGTTCCCCAAAGCCCACCCAAGTGGCCGGGCAAGGGGAAAATCTACCTGATGGGGGACACTGCACTCACACAGGTGAAGCCTCAGGGCCGCCGCTCCTGACCCCAGGCATCCTGGGAGCGCCCAGACTTGTCCTCTGGCAGCTGAGCTCATGGAGGTCAGAAAACAGCTTCAGAAATGTGCTCCAACCAGAATCTGTAGGACACGGTTTTCAAGTTTTTTCCAAGAATATTGGAGTGGCCAAAAAAACAGCCCCTGAGACTTCCCTGGTGGTCCGGCGGTGAAGACTCTGTGCTTCCAATGCAGGGGCACGGGTTCAACCTACACACTGCGTGAAGTAGCACCTGTTGGAAGGCTACACGTACTCCCAGGCCGCGTCACGGGCGCTGGCGGGCAGGCCGCTTCCTCCGCGGTGCCACTGGGGCGCAGTAGACCCTGCTGGGGTCGCAGTGGAGTTTGTGGGTGGTCTTCTTGTGGCAGGCAATGTGGACTAACTTGAGGTTCTCCAAGGTGAAGAGCAGGCGGTAGAAGTACTCCCAGTCCACCTCTCTCCCCTCCGCGTCATGGACGGCCGCGGCCAGCGCGGGCACAACCGCACGCTTCTTTTCTATTCTGTAAAGCAAGTTTAGGGACGTCATCTTTTGTCGTCACAATGCCCCCGCCACCTGCCCCCGTTTAGTGAGCGCCTCATCTTCTGCTAAACCACAGAGATGGGTGGACAACGTGTCTACTCGGCTGAGCCATCAAACAAGATTTGGCTGCTTCCAGGAGAGACAGGTGGGGAGGGTGAAGCTCTGCAGAGGAGCCACCCTCGGACCATCACAGCCAGAGGCGGGTGGGCGCTGGGAACGGGCTCACCCGGCAGCCACCGACATACGCTGGGGACACCCCTTCACGGACTGACAGGGGCACCATCGCTCTACATGGCCCCCGCCCACTGGGTCAGCCACCCAGCCATCTCATGTTGTAAAAAGTAGATGGTGCCTAGTTAAAATACTGAGAAGTACACTGGAAAAAATGAGAGTCAAGCATAGTCCCATCACATGAACAACAACATTCTTGACTTCCTTAGCTCACACTTTATCTATGTGCAAATTCACTAAAAAATTTCAGGATGATACATGAACATTTTTTAAATAGAACCTTACAAACAAAGCTACAGTCACCTCCAACTGCAGCCTTTAATCTCACTTCCCAGAGACAATCCCTGTTAAGGGTCTGACATCTGCCTTTCCAGACCTCATCCTATAATCTTATCTGCAGACACGTGTGTCCGTTTAAAACAACTATGACATCGCTTTATGTGACCCAATTTCACGTATAAATAACAGTTCAAAAGACCTTATAGACCCAGTGGAGAAGCTTGTACACTGAAGAGATAGGACCAGAAACCACGAAGCTGGGGGCTGGGGGCCACCAAACTGGCACAGAGGGCCCTGTCCCCACGACACAGAAATGCTCAGCAACAATGAGTAAGTATCTGGGAATAAAATAAAGAAGGTGGCTCCCTCTGTAGACACAGAAACCATGGCTGGACCACAGGACTGCACTGCACTCCACAACCCACCAGGGTTCCAGTCTGCTGGGGTCCCAGGGGCCCCAAAAGCCAGGAGAGGTAGGGCTGAGACCCCCACCCTGGACATTAGAGGAGGCACAGAAAAGCTGTCAAGGGTCTGGGTCTTCGGGAGGAGGAAGGAAAAGCCTCTGTATGAATTACCAACCCCACCTTAGTGGTTCTGGGGGTGGGCCACTCTCAGGGCTGTGCTCTGCTGCTGGGCTGGCTGGGGGCTGGCCCTTCTCCCCACAGGGTCTTTCATCCTCCCTGCAGGTCGGGTTGGGCTTCCTTGAGCGGTGATGATGGCATTCAAAGAGGACGTACCCATGTGTGAGCCTGCACCAGGCCTCCCTGGCTCCCTGTCTGCTGGAGCAGCTGGCCAAGTAGATGCAACGTGGGGGTGGGAAGGAGGCTCGAGGTAAGGATTGCAACTTCTGTGCTCAGGGCACCATCTGCACCCTGTGAACCTCCAGTCATGTGGAAAACCAGGCCCCTCAGCCCACCTCTCATGCAGACACACATCCAACTTCCATACATCCAACCACATACCGCTGCAGGTGGTATGGAAGCTGCCAGCAAGGAATCAACATGCAGTTATCTGAGGGCCTCTGACTGAGCCTCACCACACAGGCAAAGCTGGCAGCTGTCAGCTCAGATGGGACCGTCTCGAACCCACGGGAATAAGAGCAATAACATGGCCAGTGGGACAGCCCTCAGACCAAAGGACATGTCAAGGTTAACAGGACGGGCTGGGAGTAGCAGATCAGGTTAAATCCAGCCGCGCATATCTGAGGCCATGTGGATCTGAGTCTACAAACACTCACACCATGCAGGCTCAGAGGAGTCGTGAGTGACTGCGGCAGTGAACAGGCACCAGGAGAGGCAGCCAGGAATCCGGCAGCAACTGAAGACACATGCCTACGTCTACACCTGGTGGCTCAAACGACAAAGAATCCACCTGCAATGCAGGAGACGCAGGTTCAATCCCTGGGTCAGGAAGATCCCCTAGAGGAGGAAACGGCTACCCACTCCAGTATTCTGGCCTGGAGAATCCCACGGGCAGAGCAGCCTGGTGGGCTAGTGGAGCCTGGTGGGCTACATACAGTCCACAGAGTTGCAAAGAGTCAGACACGACTGAGCAGCTAACACTAACACCAAACAGTTCACAGAGCAGCAATAAAATCGCGACGGAAATGACAGAGTCCTTAGACCCAAATAACAATACAGTTACCAACTCACAGGAAGTGGCTAAAGCGGACACCGACCTGAAATGTGTATGTTAGAGGACAAGAGAGCTGCAAAGTAACTGATAAGCAAGAAAAAAACCTCCAAAATAGAATAAATGAAAAATAAAAGCCAAATGAATGAAGTTAAAGAAGAGGCCAGGGACAGCTCTGAGGGAGGAAGGGAAGTGCTGGATCCAGAAGGAAGACCCGTCACAACATGGGGCCCTGATGGGGTGCCCTTGTGGGACTGGCCGCATGCTCCCGGGGCCCCTGCTGCAGGGAGCAGGCCTCTGGGCCCAGAAGCCCTGCCCACCTGAAGCCCACCTGGACCCCTGCCCTGCCACCCAGCCATCACTCCCAGGATAGGCTGCAACCTGGTGCGCACACCCTCGTGGTGTGAGGGGGCCTGATGGTGGGGGAGGAGGGAAGACTCTGGAAGCTGGCCACCGCGGAAACGTCCCAGAGCCCTGAAAAGGCCACCAACTGGGACAAGGACCCCGGCCTGGGCTGAGGTGACACCGTCCAGGAGGGCGGATGATGTATGCTGCATTGAGAGTCTGTTACTTCTCTGTGTTTCACTATTTAAACATGTGGCTCGTGGCTTCAGCCCACCAGAGTCAGGGTGGGCCTGAAGCCATATCTCAGGAAAAGAAGCTGATGTTTTCAGACCCTGGCTGCCTCCTGGTCAAAACCACATTTTAAATTAAAAGCCAGTATGGGTATCTATGTGGATGTACATGCATTTAGAGAAAGAGCGGAAATGTAACCGATGTGTTTCAGGAGACGGGACCCCGGGTCCAGTGTACAAGCCCAAACAGTAAAAATATACCCTCAAAGAACCAGTGTCCTGGATGTAGAAAGAATCCCCACAAATTAATCAGGAGACCAAAGCCAGACAGAAAACAAGCAGAGGCAGCAACAGCCACTTCACAGAACACGAATGGCCAACAAACACACGGACAGTCCACCTTCCTAGTAACCAGGCAAATGACCTGTGACCAGAGAAGCTGTTCCCCACACAGCAGACAGGGAGCATGCAGAAGATCCAGACACCAAGGGTATAGGGTGCTGGGGCCCGAGGACTCTTCACCCTGCAGAGCAACCCCGAGACTCGTCGGGGCAGACGGGGACACTAGGAGCCAGCGCCCCACACAGGCAAGAACCCGAGGATATCTTTATGGGGGGGCTCTGCCTGCAGGTTCCTCCATATCTGTGCCTCCTTCATATCCGTGGATTCAACCAACGTGGATAGAGAACTGTAGCATTTCCTACTGAAAAACCTTGTGTGTGAGTGCACCTGCATGGTTCAAACCCCATGCTGTTCAAGAGTCAACAAGAAAAGCGTCTTGGTTAAAATAGTAAAATTTTCCATTTCTTTTTTGAATGAGCTAATGTACACATAAAAGCGATCCAGCCACCCAAGATGCACTCACACTGGCTAAAGCGGGAAACACCCTGCACATCACCACCCAGTCCCCCCACCCCCTGCCCTGGGACCGGCAGGGATCCCACCGTTGCCAAACTGACTGGGCCCTCAGCTGCTGACCACCGGCTTGGCCCACGGTGGGAGCTGGGGGTGGGCGAGGGGACACGGAGGGTTGCACTGGTGTGGATGGGGACCTGAGCCACCACACTGAAAAACACTACCACGCAGGTGAGCAGTGGACATCCGTGGGTCTGTGATCCAGAAGCTAGGTGTGTGGAACACCAGGCAGCCATTAGCCCCGGAGGCCAGGCAGGGCCAGGCCAGCAGGCGCTCTGCAGTCTGTGCCCACATCCGCCACGCCACACACTCACACATGGTCCAGGTTCCAGGTGCTGAAGAGGACACGGCTCTCCCGGTTACTGTAGGGGTTGATGGAGTGTCTGGAGGTACAGTCGTCCACGTCAAAAGGACCCTGGACAGAGGAGAAGAGGTGACGGTCCCGAGGCCAAAAGCCTCTCCCCCAAGTCGGAGGCACCCCAGTCAGGGGTCAAGCCCTGTATACAGTCTGTGCTCAAGAGGCAGACTCTCTGTCCTGGCATGGCCCCCGCTCCCTGGTGACCCCCAGTGATGTAGTGCATCTGCAGAGGGGACCAGTTAACCCATCAGCCACCAGGAACGCTAGGCTCCCTGCCGTGTGCCCCCAGCCCTCCCCACACCGCTCCATCACACAGCTGCTCCCTTTCTGCCTCCTCCACGGCATCCCAGCATTTCCCTGTTGCCTGCACAGGCTGGGCCACGGAGACGCACTAAAGCGTCACCTTTCCTAAAGCCCCAGCTGCACCCCACCCAGAGACCCGGTCAGCACCCTGAGGGCCCTCACAGCCTCTCTGCAAGAAACCCACCACCCAACTCGCTCACAGGCCTTTGACCCAGAGCCTGCCCAGGCCGGGGTGGAGGTTCTGGTCGCTGTCCCCACCACACATGCTGCCGGGCTTAGGTCACACTGCCCGGGAGGAAGTGGTCAGGTGAGAGTGACATGAAGCCAGGTGGGAAGGAGCAGTGTCTGGGTGCTTGGGACATCACCCTTGGAAGGGGCTGCCTGGGGAGGGACAGAGGCATGGGGGGCTATGGGGGAGAGACTGGCCCACTGTCAGTGGCAGGGAGGGGCTTTCACGGGAAATGCTACATGCAGCTCATGTCCACCCACACCTGGCCTGCAAACAGCTGTACAAAGCAATCAGTGCTTCTGCATTGTCCCGACAGCTCAGAACGCTGCTGCCGGCTGACACTGCCCTGCCAGGGCACCAAGCTGTACCAGTGACAAGATGTCACATCTGGCCATGACCCTGAATCTGGGCAGGCTGTCTCATCCGGGCTTTCCCACAGGGCAGACCACGCATCAGCTACCACCCAAACAAATGCTTCCCTTCTCTGAGGCCAGGACAAGGTCTCTGCTCACAAGTAGTCGTGTCCTGACCCCTCCCTGCACGAGCATCGTGGGAACTCGTCAGGAAGGCAGGTTCTCAGGCCCCATGGAGCTGCTGAACAACAACCCCAGGAGGGGCCCAGCCGTCCTCACGAGCCCTCCAGGGGTTCCAACACCACCAAAGTCTGGGAACCACTGGTGGGGCTGACCATTCTCTCTGTCCAAGCTGGCACCAAGGGTTGCCCCAGCTCACCAGGCCTCGGCCAGGGGGGCCCAGGAGATGCCCGCGGCTCACCTGGCAGGAGAACCAGCCTTCGGGGGTGCAGAGCCGGCGGCTGGCCTTTGCCCCTCGGTCGAAGTAGCTGCTGTTGTACTGGGCGGCCTGGAGCTTCTGCTGCATGGAGCCCACGAGCCGCAGGTACTCCTCACGAGCCTCTGCACCCACCAGGGAGGCGCCAGAGGTCACCTGGAGAGGCAGGGGCATCACAGAGCACTGGCCACACACCCTAAAACCCACCACTGCCTGCCTCCCAGTCCACTGAATGCCACGGCCCTCAAAGACCCTGCCCCCTGGGGTCCCAGCAGGGCCCTGAAGTTGAGGGGTCTGAACCCTGCCCCCTGGGGTCCCAGCAGGGCCCTGAGGTTAGAGGGTCTGGATCCTGCCCCCTGGAGTTCCAGCAAGGCCCTGAGATTAGGGGTTCTGGATCCTGCCCCCTGGAGTCCCAGCAGGGCCCTGAGGTCAGGGGGTCAGAGCTCACACCCACCATAACTGACTCTGGGAAGTTCCTCTGGGCCCATGAGACAGAGCTTTGGTCACAATCAGAAAAGAAGCTCAAGCTCCAGGCACATTGGCCACTCCATCTCCCGAGCACTACCCAGTGTTTTGCAGGAAGAAACTGGAGAAGAAGGGTGCAGGTGAAAAGCGACCACCACATCACCACCCACTGGAGTGCAGGTGAGGACTCGCACCCATGGGCCCACACTGAGCACCGGGCAGAGGCAAGGGGACAGCCGACCCAGTGGGAATGACAGCAGGACAGCAGACGGGTCATCACAGAATGGGGCTGGCACCCAGCGGGGTCTGTGAATGACGCCCTGGAGACACCTGTCAGCCAGCATGGGAAGAGCACTACACCAGCAGAAGGAGCCTGAGGGTGGCCACGGTCAGCAGGGGTGGGAGCAGGGACGAGGGGGAGCTGGATCAGGCCAGGGCCTCAGATACCCCAGCCCTGAGGTTTCCTTTGTGCTCTCAGCAGAGCACACGTGGGCAGTTCTGCACCACCAATGATCAACTCTAGTCCAGAACACACAACTGGGAGCAAGGTCAAGGTGTGGGGGTAGCGGGTGGCCTGCAAAGAATGGAACATGACACCCCCTGGCTGACATCCGACCATGAAGTATAGGAGAAACGGCAGGGGGCTCCCAGGGCAAGCAACTCATTGCTGGCTCATGTTCACCTGCACCCACACCCACACCAGCCCTCACTCCTCCGACATCCACGCCGGTCCTGGGAGCCAAGTCCCAGCGGCAGAACCGGCTTCCTAAACCTGCCCAGCACACCGGGACCTACCTCTCTCAAGTAGCTCCGGATCCGGCTCTCGCAGCTGTATCTCAGATAGCCAGACTTGCTCCTAAACCGGGACTCCAAGCCTGCCGGAAGGAGAGACAAGATGCCTGGAGCCTGGGGCTGTTATCTCCTGGGAGGGCGGACAGGAGGGCTCTTGACTCGGCTCCATCTAGAAACGTTCTGATGGGGACCTGCTCCTTCTGCAAAGGAAGTCGTCTCCAGTCCACCAGCACAGAGCACCTCAAATGCCACCGGGGAGCCCCTTTCCCAAGGGGACTGCTCCTCCTGGCTCAGAAGGCCAGTCCAAAAGGTGAGATAGGTCCAGGTGACTGGATAAAGAAGATATAGTCCACCCATGAGATGAAATATCATTCAGCCTTAAAGTGGAAGGGAATCCTGACACCTGCTTCCACATGATGAACCACAAAGAGGTTATGCTGAGTAAAGAAGGAAGATGCATGAGCTCACTCATACGAGGTCCCTGAGGAGTCAGATTCCAGGGACAAAAAGATGGGGGACCAGGGGCAGGGGAGAGGTGGGGAGTGATGCCTACTGGGGACAGAGCCTCAGTTTGGGAGGATGAAAACCTCTGAGAACAGGTGGTGGGGCTGCTACACAACACTGGGAATATACTCAATACCACCAAAGAACTATGTGCCCAAAAATGGTGAATATGGTGAATTTTACTTCGCCACGATTGAAAAATAAAACGGCCAACCCCAGGGCTGCCTGGACCCTGGCCCCATGCTTGGGAAACCCCTGGATTTGGGGACTGATGGAGACCCCGGGTCTCAGAGAGTCGGTCCCAGGGAAGCCCTCCGTGCCCACTCCCTCCAGGCCAAAATCCATGAGGTACCTTCAAACCACGGTGGGTCCTCGGCCCTGGTCTCGGCCGTGATGTTCTCACTGACGGTGCCCAGCAGGTCGGCCAGCAGCTTCTGCCGCAGTGGGGCCTTTTCGTCTGAGAGCAGCTGCCGGGCAGCCTGGATGACGCCCGCGTGCGGCTCCTGGAACACGCTCAGGAAGCGACTGATGTCACTCACGACTGCCACCGAAGGGGACAAAGAGGCCACCAGGCCTTGGAGCACAGCCTCTGGGAAACCGTCTCTTTCCCCTGCCCCGACAGCCACCAGCCCAGTGCTCCAGGCCTGGGGCCTGGCCCCCCACACTTAAGGTGGCAGTGGGGAGGACAGATGGGGAGGACACGGGAAATGAAACACACCAAAGAGAGTTGCTGTCCTTCCCCCTCAGCCTCCCCTCCTCCAAGTGAGACCACCTGGTCTTGGGCCCTCACTCGAGACCTCAGGCTCCAGCTCATCCCTTCACTATCCGGCTGACTCCCCAGCTTCCCACACACCCGAAAGCAGCAAGCCCTCCAGGAAAGCATGAGAAACTTAGGTCTTCATCCTATAAGCAGAAATCCAGACACACGAGGAACAAGCCCCACAGCTGCTTGGGTCATTTCAGGGACTTGGGGCTGCTCAGAGTTCAAACATCAGTGTGATCCACCCTCCACAGGCTAAGCAAGAAAAGCCATGTGATCACAGCAACTGGCGCAGAAAGACAGAGAAAGTCTTCAAGACCTAGAGCTTGTCGAAGAAGTCTCAGATTGAACCGCAAAAGTATACTTTCAGAAACATAAAGGGGCTTCCCTGATTGCTCAGTCATAAAAAATCAACCTGCAATACAGGAGATGCAGGTTCAGTCCCTGGGTTGGGAAGATCCCCTGAAGAAGGAAATGGCAACACACTCCAGTATTCTTGACTGGAAAAGCCCATGGACAGAGGAGCCTGGTGGGCGATATAGTCCATGGGGTCACCAAGAGCTGGACATGCCTTAGCGACTAAAATAAGAACAAAGAAAGATAAAAAGGGACAAGTAGAACTTCATCAAAAGTAAAAACTTCTACTCCATGTAAAGGACCTGGTTAAGAAAACAAAAAGATGAGCTGCAGAGAAACTATCTGCCCACCACACATCTGACAAAGGCTCATGTCCAGAATGGACCAGGGGAACCCGCAAGACTCAAGCAGGAAAAATACCCAACTACACAGTGGACAAAAGATGCTTGGCGAGGTTTACAGATGGTAAATCGGCCCAGGAGAAGATGGCCAACTGCCGGGAGCCAACACACAAGACCCTACCCCTAAAAAGGCCATAGGGGAGAAAACCTGACGGGCAAGGCGGATCAGGTTTTCAGGGGTTTCGAAAAAGTCATCTCACGAGATCCCACCCATGACAAAGTCACGAGGAGAAAGCCTGACAGGCAAGGCAGATCAGGTTTTCAGGGATTTCGAAAAGCTGCCCCCGGCTCTCACCTTAAAGATGATATCTGTCTTTCTGATGCCTGCCTCAATGGACTACTCCCTAATTTCTCTGACACAGGCAGGAAGGCCTTCCCCGATCTCTTCCCAAATAAGAATCAATTTAGAACTTTAATCAATAAGTTTCCCAGGTGGTGGTATTTTATGAGATTATTCAGGGTGAAAGGAGTGTTTTAATTCAAACTCCTTTGCTGGTAGTTTGTTAGCCAAATGCATTTATGCGCTTGGTACTAATATGCATGATTGCTTATAATATCCTAATCATAAAATAGCATAAAGAACATGATTATATAAAAGCCCTAATAGATATAGAGCCCTTTTAAGGCGTAAAGGAGTCCTATTAGAAAACATAAGAAAATTATCCTATAGGTGGTTATTGGGTTGTGATTTGCTTGCTGTGTTTTGCTTGCTGTATTTTTGCCTTTAATGTGCTAAGGTTGTGTTATAAAAACCATTGTTAATATAGTTAAAGATCTAGAGAAGTAAGAACTTAGCCCTAGTGTGGTAACAATGAGATGGTTGTTAATTGTCAGTCAGGAGTGCTAGGCAAAAGCTGCCTCACCAAAGTCGCAGAGTCAGTATGGGGTAAACTTAGATAAACGCAACTGACAACTTTTGCAGAAAGATTAATTTTTGTATTAACAAGAATATAATTCTACTCTGTACTATTTCCCTATGACCCTGTTACCTTTCAGTTAAGGTCACCATAAAAACGGAAAATAGGTTTACACTCACCTGACCTGCATGAAATGTTAATAGCCTCAAGGCCAGAAGATCATGTGCTAAAAATTACTATAGAATTAGGAAGCAAAAAAATCCTGCTTTTCCTAAAAATCAAAATGATGTAATGCTAATCCTGTGTAATCATGAATAAGCATCTTGTACCTTGAAAACGTTCTGTGAAAGGGTATAAAACCGGTTGTCAAAAAGTAAAACACAGATTTGGCCCTATCAAGGCTGGTCTCACGTGTCTTCTCTCTCTCTCGCCAACGCCGTTCATCCTGAGGGTACCCCCCTGGATCCTGCCGAGGCTGGACCCCGGCAGCCAACACCATCAGCTGGGAGGGACATGTGAATCCAGACACCACCACACGCCTGCCGGAGTGGCTAAAGCAGGAACAGCGACAAGGCCAAGGGCTGATGAGGCCACAGGCGCCTGCTCCTGTCCTTGCTGCGGAAATAAGCCAGGACCACAGCTCTGGAAAGCAGCGTGGCCAGGGGCAGGGCGGGGGTGGGGGGGGTGTTCCTTCCTTTTCTTGATAACAACATTATTCAGATTTAATTCTCTAGAAGGATAAGGCTCGACAGAGGAAGGATGCTCACCACACGATACATGTCACCTTCACTGCTGACAGCAGAGAACCAACCAAGGGCTGAGGCCACATCCACGCTCCTGCCAGGCCTCTCTCTGTCCCCACCCTTTCAGCAGAGCAGGCAGGATAATCTCAGTGCTCGGAGTTCCACTACCTTCCCACAGCACCTGAATTGGAAGTCCCTTTCTACAGGGGCCAGATGACCCTCTTGGGGGACATGCACATGCCTGGCTAGTGGCCCACGGCTCCATAGTAGCACTTGTCACCCAGCAAAGACACTACTAAAGACCCACCTCCAAGGGCACTGGCTCCAGTAAGGCAGCGCCAACAGGAACCTGAGGATGGATGGGTGTCCACCAACCCAACAGAGATCAGACGCTGAGCGTACAGTCAGTCACCTGCCTGTCCCTTAGAAAATGGATTAAGGAAATGTTTACCGACTGAGACACAGGGAGTCGTTCAGACTTCTGCATGAGTTAACTTGAATTTGATGCCAACTAGAAGAGCCTGTCTGTGGTAGATCATACATACGGTGTGCATCTGCCTTAATTATTAAAGAAAAGGGTGCACTGACCAGAAGTAAAGAAAGTCCATGTTAAAAGTAAAGATTGGGGAATTCCCTAATGATCTCGTGGTTAGGACTCAGCTCTCACTGCCAAGGACCGGGGTTCAATTCCTGGTTGGGAAACTAAGATCCCACAAGCTGTGCAATGCAGCAAAATAAATAAAGATTAAATGCCCCTGTTCTTGGGATGCCAATGATGGTTACTCCTTCGATGGTCAAGACTTTCTGCCAGTGCCAAGGCCATGCTGACTCTCGTGCACGTGCTGATTTGCTGTTTCTGAACCCTTAAAGGAAGGCATCCCTGACTTGCTTAACAGTCTTTGTTCTGAAGACACAAACTGTGCTGAAAACCCTGCTTCTCCGGAGCAGATCCTCAGAGTGATCTAAGAGACTGTCTTCTAGGCTACAGTCCTCAGTTTGGCTCAAATAAAACTTTTCTATTCTTATTATGGACTGTTTATTGATTATTTTGGTCAACAAAGCCCAGTAAACAGGACAACCTTGCTCTCTAGCTCTGTTTCTCCTGTAAAACTGGGCAGCCCCTGAACCCCAAAGCCCACCCTCTGCCCTTAGGAGTTACTAGGACACCTCAAATGAACATAATAAAACTAAAGGAATTTCCTAAAGAGACACATACAACAACCAACTGGAGAGGTGTGCTCCTGGCCAAGAGGATGGACAACTCTGCCATGTGAGCGAGCTCTTCCTCCGGGGGCTTTTTGCTTTAGGGTCCAGAGCATAGGGACCCTCCCTCCCAGGGCTGGCATCCGCTAGCAGGCCCTCTGCACCTCCACAACCACACCCACTTCCCCATCAGTCTCCAAGATCCCCAACACTTACAGCCCTGCCAGGTCTGGTCGGCAGTGAGAAGCACGAGCTCCGAGTTGTCGGGGGCACTCCGGAAGTAATCTCCAGTCAATTCTGTGCCATCCTCATAGAGACACAGGCGGGAACCAGAGATGGGGAGCTGGGGAGAAGAGGGAGGTGAGATCGGGGCGGGATGCTCACTTCCTGGGCCTCAGGGGGGCCCAATCTTTGGGTGGCCAGCTGAAGTCTTCCCATCTGCAGTCCTCACAGAGAACAAGAAGGAACCACGTTGTAAAGAATCCTGCCAGAGATGCAGTCTGCGCGTATAGAGCAGGTCCATCAAGGGCCCCTACTGTAGGTTGTTCTAAGATTGGAAAGTCACAGAGATGAATATACACTGGTGACCGCTTTGCAGGATTCACCACTCAGACCCTTTCAAACAGAGCTCCCCTAAGGCACTTTAAAATCCAAGCCTGTTTCCAAAAATGACGCTTGACTGCTTGCACTAAGCCTGTAAATGCATCCCCATGAACGAGGCACACAGCCTGACAGGTGTCAGCACACAGTACCTATGGCTCAAGTCTCTCCCTGGCACTGATCAATTAAGGAGAAACTTACTGAACAGGACTCTGTTCTGTCTACGGAAGTGTGACCAGTTCACGGGACTGTGAACCTGCTGAGGTTTACTCCTTTGCCATGCCACACTGATCCATTTCATAAGTTTTTATACCTAATTCCTTCCCTCCCCCCATGCCATGCAAGTACACACACCCCCAGCGCTGGTCTAGGCCCAGTGGAGAAAGTTAACAACAAGGGTAGGAAGGATGGCTGAAATCCCTAGAACAGTAGTGCCTAAGGGCCATGAGAGGCCTTGGAGCCTGACCCTTCACGTTATACCAGGGAAACCAAGGCAGGGAGCATGTGAGCCATGAGCCGATGGGCACCTGGGTCTCAGAATCGGGTCCCTGGGCCTCAGGCCAGAGCTGTCCCGAGCCTGGCAGTCAGAAGGCAGGAGAGCCATCCTAGTTCTCTACAAAGTCCCCCTGCTCTGACCTGGCCCCTGAGCCAGACAGGGCATTGGGGACTTCTCCCCAGCACAGGAAATGAGGATCTCTGCAGCCCAGACATCTCCCACATCCCTGGTTTGGAAGTACAAAAGCAGTGCCTCTTATTCTCCCCAGATATCTCCCAAGCAGGTGGGCTCCTGAGTGCAGGGGTAGAGGCTTCACTCACTTAGGCCGTCTGCTGAGACATGGCACCAGGAACCAGAAGCCCGGAAGGACCCCAATCACAGCCCACCCCCTATCACACACACGACCCTCCCCGCAGTGCCCACACCATCAGAGGCTCAGCTAAGAGGCTTTGGGTGGACCTAGTACTGGGTTGGGTTTAAACATCGGCCTTTCCTTGGTGGTGACAGCAGATTACTCAGTCTCTTAGTGCCTCAATTTCTTCATTTGTGAAATGGGGGTGTTAGCACCCAATTCAGAGCAGAGCACCTGAACTCCACCAAAGCCATGTAAAGAGCCCGGACAGAGCCCAGGGTCGGGCACATGGCGATCGGTAGTGGTCAGGCTCAGGCTCTCTGCCCAGAGATTGTGGACAGCGCCCCTCCCACTGTCAGGACTCGGGAGCCTACTGTGTGGCTCGGGGCAGCCTGAGCAGGGGCAATCCCAACGCCACAGGACGACGGGTCAGCACGGTCCCATCCTGCAAGTGGAGTCTCCCACCCAGCGGCCCCAGGGGCACCTGCAAGTGTTGGCACCCCTTCCGCAGCACTTCCTCGCAGCTCCTGCCCGCCACCCCAAACTTCTTCTCACTATGCAGGGACCGCAGCTTAAACGTCTTGGGCTTCCGGAGCACCGCCGACATCCTCAGAGACTCTGGTCCCGCGGGCGGCACTTGCTCGGCGGATCGCAGTGGTGTCCACTCCGGGTGGTCTCCACTGAAAGAACCAAGGCCGCGCGCCGCACTCGGAAACTACATTACCCAGAAGGCCAGGAAGGCGGCGGCGCGCCCCCGCCTTGTGCGCAGGCGTCGCCGCCGGAAACTTCATTACCCAGAAGGCCAGGAAAGCGGCGGCGGACCCCGGCCTTGTGCGCAGGCGCAGCGCTACGGGGCGGGGTCGCGCACGCGCGAAGGCCCAGGCGGGCCGGCCTGGTTGTCATGAGAGCGGCGGCCGCGGCCCGGGCAATGAGCGCTGGCCGCCGGGGCTGCTCCTCGACTGCCACCGCCGCTGCTGCTCGGGGGTGCGGGCTGCCCCGGGGCGGCGGCGGAGGCGCTGCCTGAGCTCCGCCGAGGGTGCGGCGCTGCCGAGGGCCGGCGGAGAGCCCGAGTCGTGCGAGTGTCCTGACAGGTACCCGAGCGGGCCGGGGCGGGACCGACGTGCGGGGTTCGGAGCGACGGGGCCGAATCCACACGGGCCTCCGTGGGCGCGGCTCGCGCGCTGCGTCACCGCCCGGGCGGCCCGCGGCGCCTGCGCTCGGACCCTGCGTTGGGCGGCTGCGCGAGTCCTGCGACCCCGACTCCGTGCGGGCGAGGTGGGTAGGAGTCGGCCCTTGAACCTCGTCTGCTCTGAGGACTCTCTGGGGCACTTGCGAGCCTTGAGGTTGCTGCACCAAAAGCCATTTAACTGTGTGCCATTTACCATAAACCGTTTAACTGTGTACTACTTACATTTTCCTAAGAAGAAAAGTGAGTACAAGTTTCGTCTCTTAAACCTTGTAGCAAGACGTTTGGAAGTTGTTGAATTGTTTCAGTGTAAAGTAGCTATCCAGTTTCCCTGATGCAGAGTGAAAAGCTGACTCCGCAGGGATGCCGGAGATGGAGCTGGCGCTCGTTGTGGGGAGAGGACCTCTGTGCACCCGGCCAGCTGGGGCCCGACAGAGCTCCGGTTCTCCCGAAAATGTTAACGGTGAATTTTGTGGTGCCTGATACTAGTGTCCTCAGTGACACCCCAAGTCTCTTACAGAAGACTTGAAGGATTATGCAGAAGAGATCCTAGGGTACAGGGTGGAAGGAGGTGGCCGAGAAAGAATCCTTTTCAAATACCCAAACCAGGTAATAACGTTGCCTCTGCCGTTCCTTGGCACTTCTCCTACCTGGCTCCTAGATGCCAGGGTTGTGTTTGGGATTTATTGAAGCCGCATTGTATAGTGGACACATCCTTTATTCCGATTTAAAGGGCCCCATTTCTGAGTCTTAGCGCCATGGCCAAGGGTATTGGTCAAGATCAGAGACTCTGGAGCCTGAGCAGCCTTAGGACAAACCCTGCCTGCCTGGCTTCATAGCTGATGACCCTGGGCCAGGCCTCGCTGTGCCTCAGTTTCATCATCTCTACATCAGGACTGTCAGAACTGTCATGAGGGTGTAAACACGTGTATCTGCATGCAAACACACAGAGGAAGTTGGTCTGTACGCACATAGCAAGATGAATAAATAGCATTTCAGACCTGCAGAATTTGAGGGTACATGGTCACACTCAGGTGAGAATATTGAATAGATAACCTCTTTTGTTCATGGTGGGATAGACAGTAACAGTACCTTTAAAGGTACTGGAAAGATGTGGGGAATCCCCAGCACAAGGCTCTCACCCTGAGCTTCAATAAGTTTGGCTGGACTTTAGAATCGACCACATGAAGCGAGGGTTAGAACGGCAGATTGGGCTTGAGCAGGGTCCCTCAGGCAGGGCAGTGCTCCAGGTCGGGAGGCCTGGCTACTGTCTTTTAAAGAAGACAATGGGATCCCTAAGAGGGGATGTAAGAGTCATCGTTCCAAAGTGGGGCCAGTGACACTGGCACAGAGGGGTGGGGGTTAGAAGTGGATGGGCTGGGGGAGGTATGGAGACCGAGGGGAAAGTCAGGCCTGGCTGTGAGCCTGAATCCCAACGTGTGGGAGGAGCCGCAGGCTGGGTGAGGCTGGTGCCTGTCTGGCCTGGGAGCTGGAACACAGGCCAGGCTCTGCAGTTGCTGTGGGTTAAGTCACACACTCGTCCGTTTTCTGTGCCTGCATTTCATCAGTTTCTGGGTTAGTTTGGTGTTCCTCTACTATCCTGTGACGTCCCTCAGTAAGCTTTGTATACCGAGTGACTGGGATCTTTAATAGTGTTTTCTCTTTCTATTTTTAATGCGTTTGTTCATATAGTCCAAGAAACCTTAGCAAGTGCTGGCCAGTAATTAATTTGTCGACATAGTCCTTTTCAGGGTCTCAATAACAGTCAGAGGAGGATCCAGATCCATCCCGAGCACATTAAAACAAGCATGTCTTACGTGGAGTGTGCTCGTGCATTACCGCCTCCTGAAAATCTCAGTTAATAGTGTGTCCCACCTCAGAGAACCTTCTGGAGAAGCCTTTATCCTCTGTTTTTTTGAGGACTCTTGGTTGCATACTGACCCTTCATCCAAATTGGCCAACTGCAGAGCATCAACGGCCTTAGTAACTTTGGAGTCAGTGGGAGTCTGTGAGTCCTTTGGGCTTTAAGTCCTGATGCTCACAAGGTGGGGGTCCCTGCCTCTCTCAGCACTGCTTCCCCATGTCAGCCCTCCCCTTGCCCAGAGCTCCCCCTGCTCTAGCAGCCGCCCTCCTCCAAACCCTCACTCCCTACCCCTGATGTGTGCTGCAGCTCAGCCCCCGTAGCAGAGTCCTGGGACTGAGCAGCTTGGTCCCATTCTCATGACTCCATCCCTGAATCAGTTCCTGAGGAGGACGTGGAAGTCTTGAACTGACTGAGCCAGGAAATGTGCCCCACAGGTGGGGGCTGAGGGGTGCAGGGTGTGGGGAGGGCAGAATCATGGAGGGAAATTAGGATTGAGTTGCTGTTTTTAAAGGAGTGGGCAGAGCTGGACATCATTACAGCCACTCTTAACACAATGGTAGGTAGCTGTGAGCCAAGCCAGGTACACTAAAACATCCTGAGAGAAAAAATCATCCAGGCAATACTTACCCATCTCCCCACCGTTGGCCACGCAGCCTGGCTCCAGGAGCACGGTTGTGCACGGAAGGTTCTGTCTGTGGTTCTGCTCTCCCTCTGCTGGTCAGTGTTTTCATGTAGCAATGATTATGCTGTTGATTAAACTGCCCCCTTTCCCCTTATCTTTGTATAGCTCTTTAACACACTGGTTTATTAGTTTCCTGGACTTCCCTGGTGGCTCAGACGGTAAAGTGTCTGCCTGCAATGCGGGAGACCCGGGTTCGATCCCTGAACGGGACGATTCCCTGGAGAAGGAAATGGCAACCCACTCCAGTACTGTTGCCTGGAAAATCCCATGGACAGAGAAGCGTGATAGGCTACTATCCATGGGGTTGTAAAGAGTCAGATGTGACTGAGCCACTTCACTTCACTCACAACTAATTTTAACAGCTTTGTATTCTTATCTTACCAAAAGACCTTGTTTTTGCCATAACAGAGTAACATGAACTGGATTAATTAAAGCCATAGAAATATATTCTGGAGGCTAGAAGTCCAAAATCAAGGTGCACTTGTACAGGACCATGCACCCTCTGCCAGCCCCTCCTGGCCCCTCCCAGCTCTGGTGTCCAGCAGGGCCACGCCCCCTCTACTGACCCGTCTGGGCCCCTGCCAGCTCTGTGTCCAGGTGGTTGTGGTGCACATGTTGCAGGGCCACGACCCCTCCTGGCCCCTCCCAGCTCTGGTGTCCAGCAGGGCCACGCTCCCTCTGCAGAACCTGTCCTGGCCCCTCCCAGCTTAGGCGGCCAGGGGGTCTTGATGGCCTTGGCTTGTAGGTGTGTTGCTGTAGCTGCTTAGCCCTTGTCACTTGGCTCCTGTCAGTGTGTGTCCCTGTCTCTTTACTGATAAGGACACAGTCATGTTGGAGCAGGGCCCTCCCTACTCCCATGTGACCTCTTAACTTGCTCACGTCCACACTGTTCCTCGATGTCCTGTCAGTGGTTCTGGGAGTGAGGGCTTCAGAGCGCCATGGAGGCACAGTGCAGCCCGCGATGCTGCTCAGGCTCTTTAGACATGTTAGTGTATTTGGGAAAAGTCACAGTAACTTGAATGATACTCTTAAGCAGTATCAGAGGTGCCTGAGAAATTACATAGTCGAAACTAGACTGCTTCAAAGCAATGGGACAGTCTGACTGGGCTATGAATTACTTGTGTGTTAGTGAGGCGAGAACTAACACATAAGTGACACTTGTGACAGTATCACTATGTGCCACTGAGTCCCTCGATTTTGAAGCCATCTCTGCTGCTCTCGTACACAGCCCTGCTCGCAGAATGCCCCACAAGATTGCATTCGTCGTCGTCAGCTCATCTGGACATGAAGATGGCTTCAGTGCCCGGGAACTGATGATCCACGCACCAACCGTCAGCGGGTGGAGGTCACCGAGGTGGGTGGGATGAGGGGTCATGGAGGGGGGGTCTTCGGGGGCACGTGGGCTCTCTTGGTCTAAGTGCTACTGTTGTTACATCTCAGATGCAGGACCGCGCAAGGACGGGGCTGTGCTGCCGCCCCACCCACCTAGTTACATGCTGGGCTCTCTTCTTCCTGTTGTTAATGAAAATCAGTTGAAACTTTTCCACTATAACTTTAACCCACATTCACTTAAGTGTGCACATACAGAAAAGCAGAAGGAGAACTGCCCGCCCCCCGCCCCCCGCCCCCCGCCAGTTTCCTGATTGAGGGCCAGTCTGCATTCTCTGTGCTGGCTGGTAAGGATTTTGCATCTCACCACTGTCATGTAACACAGGACCTCAACCCAGAAAGTCTCTTTCAAATTTGCCTGGAATGTTTATTTGTACACCTTTAAAAATGCTCGTTACTTGAGTGATATAACACTAGTGAGTGTTTTTCAGAAACGTTTTCCTAAGAAGCCTTCTTTCTTCCCCAAAGGTGGGGCAGAGTTGGTTATTGAGCTGCCCCAGGGCTTGATCGGGCTTCCTGGGTGTTGTCAGTGTTGGCCGCCTGAGACCACTCCCCTCTGGGGTCCTCGCTCCTCATGCCTTGTGTTCCAGGTTCCAGTAGAAGGCTGACTGTTGCTCCTAAGTCATGAGCGTGTGAATCTGTATGACATTTACACTCAGTCATGTACCTGTGACTTACATTTACTCAGGAGGTATGTTGCTGAAAAGTTGGATGTAAATCCTATTTAAAATTCAGATGCATTTTCCTTCTGGAGTTTTTGAGAAATGATTATGAAAAACAAAATTTAAGTAACATTACAGTTCCAAATTGTATAATGGTTCAGACCCATGACTGTGGGCCTGAAGGTAGCCAGCTGAACAAATGAAAGAACCATGGAATATCAAGTGAAAATTTTTTTCAACCAGTGCACTTGCTCCCTGATTTTGCGTAACTGGGTTTCTGCCTCTCCTGGCACATTTACCCATGTGCAACAGGCAGTATTTGCTGTTGTTCCAACACCTCCTTACTCAGCAAACAGGTAACTGGGGGCTATGCACTCTTTAGCCAGGAAGTTAAGTGATCACCATCGGGTGGCTACTCCTTTGGCTGTGGAATTGGCCAGCTCTTTTAATGGTGGGAAGAGGTTTCTAATCATGTTTGTTGACATCTACTCTGATGGGAGGAGAAGGACTCTCCCTACAGAGGCAAACCCAGGGTCATATACTGTGCCTCCAAGAAGCTCCATGTAAGGCAGCTAAGGAGGTTTAATGGGATGGACCCATGGGGGTTTCTATTTTGTTACGAAGAGAAAGTAGAACACCGAATATAGCAAAAGCGCGCTTTTCTTTTACGCTCCAGCTGTGGAGACAATGAGATGTCCAAGCATGGGGCCATTCCCAGGACCTCCACGTGTGGAAGAGTAGCCAGGAGGAGACATAGGGCGCCTCCTCAGGAGCGGCGTTTGTCCATTTCAAAGAGTCATTAGCATCATCCAGCCAAGCCTCGAGTACGATGTTACCGTATACTGAGAGTCTTCCTAAATACAGAGCTATGACAGCCAGCTTACACACGGTCTGACTCACGTCGGCCGCTCCAATGTCTTCTGCGTGTATGTCCAAGAGAGCTTGAATTAAGCCACAGAACGAGGGCACATGGATTTACTATTCTCACCTTATAAGAGGGACTACAGAACAGTTAGGTACAGAGTAGCATTGGGATTCCAGAGAAGTTCCTTACAGGGGGAGTAAGGGGTCACTGCTGTCATGGACAGGTCAAGGTTTCTGGTGACAAATCCAGCAATCAGAGAGGCATCCTCTTTCACAGTAGATTGGGAAATGTGTACAAAAGTGGTGTCTGTCCAAGGAAGAGAGGGGGAAATAAGGTAAGAAGCAGTGGTGAGAAAAGGGCATATGGGCCTGGTCAGTCTTGGTCATCTGTCTCGTCAGATGTTGTCTGCGTCCGTTCCTGGAAATCGATGCTTTCACATCACCACTTGTTGGTGTGCAGGGCCATCCACTTGGGGCTTGGTGCTCTCTCTAGGTATGACATGAATCCAGGAGCTTAGCAGCACAAGGGTTGGTTAGCAAGTATCTGATGGGGCCTTTCCAGTGAGGTTGAAGGGAGTCCTTCTGGAGGTGTCTTTTCCAGTAGGTGAAATCTCTAGGTTGCAAGGTGTGATGGTCACAGCATTCATCTCCCAGGAGCCCACTGTGAGAAGGTTATGCTATTAAAGCACGATTACTGTTGATGGAAACAGTAAGGCCCTTGCAGTATTGAAGCACATCTCTGTTTATCAGCTGTAGGTCAGAAGAGGCAGGACTGGCTGTCCTAGGCATCCTCTGACCATCTCAATGGGTGAGCGTTTGAGTTCCCAAAGGGGTGGATCTGGGGGTTTATAGGGACCAGCAGCAATGCTTTTGGCCAAGGTATTTGGAAGGTCTATACAAATGTTGCCAATTGGGTCTTAATAATGTCATTAATGCATTAGATTAGCCCTATGGATTGAGGATGGTAAGACAGTAAAAGTGTAAAACCGACCAGACAGCACAGACCCACCTGTCCAAGTGTTCAGCTACTGAAGTTCAAGGGGTTCGCCAGGTATCAATGGTCTTTTCTAACAGGATCTCAGCCACAGAAGAAGCAGTAGCCTGTCTACAGGGGAAAGTTTCAGTCCAGTGAAAAAACATGCAGCTCATAACTAAATATGTTTATGTCCTGAGTTATGTCCTGTGTTCCCTGAGATGGGAACAGCTGAATAAAATCCCTTTGCCAGGCCTCAAATGGTCCATGAGCAGTTTAATTCAGTGCAGACAGGCTTTCCTGGATTAAGTTTCAGACAGATGAACAAGTAAGGGGGGCGTTTTTCACAGCCTTATTAGAATTGTCCCTCCAATACTGGCTCGTGAGCTGTATCGTTTTTGCCAGTAGACCAGTGGCATCATGCGTGTACAGTGGACAGTGATGGGGACTCTGGAGCTTCTGCTCAGACCAGATTGTGGTTTGGCCCAAACCAAAAAGAGTTCTCTTTTTGTCAAGCCAACATTTTATTCAGTTCCCAATATTTTTTTTCCTTTTCTGGGGCCAGTTGTTGGGCATTTCTAGTCAATGTTCCCAAATTATTCTCTGGGGCACATGGGACTGTCCCTTTGAACCATGATAGAGGTTTAGCCAGAGGTTCCTTTGAGAGCAGCGTTTTGGCAGAAACGCCAGCAAGGTCATTTCCTTTCACTTCCAGGGAGTCGAGTCAGGAATGCCCAGGGACCTTGACAGCAGCCAGAGCAGGTGGCATGAGTATGACAGCTAATAAATCTCAGACATAAGAGCCATTTTAAACTTTATCCCCATCAGAGGTAAGTCAGCCTTGCTGTTTCCATATCATCCCAAAGTCATGGGCAACTGCACAGGCATATAGGCTCTGAGTATAAATGCCAGTGGTTTTGCCCGTGGCTGCACTACGAGCTCTAGTGAGAGGGTGTGCTTCCTCCTGTTGGACTGAAGCAGCCAAGGGTATAGGTGCTCCCTTGACAGTTTAAAGAGGCACTGCGACAGCAACCCCACATGGTGTTTACCTTTTCATCCTTTGAATAAGATCCATCAGTAAGCCATGGAAGATTTGCGTTGGTCAGAGGAGTCTCCTGTAAATTACTATAGAGTGTCAAAGGGGATGTCGGTGTGAGCCATCTGAAGGAGTTTTGTCGGTGAAGCAGGAGAGGAGTAGCAGGGGTGAGGTTAATTCATCAAGAGTGAATTATTCAGGAGCAGTCAGAAGGAGGGTTTCCCAGGAAGTGAGATGGCTGGTGGGCCAGCATGGTGAGAATTCGGGAGAGCTTCAGCTGCACAGGCTACAGAGATGGTTAGAGGGAAGCCAGGGATTAGTTTTTGGTGCCAGGAGTAGCTCTGAGACAAGGGGGCTGTCCCCATGGCACAGGGTCCAGCTGTCGGCCGTGATACCTGATGGGTCGATGATGGTCCCTGTGTTTTGGGGTGAGTACTCCAAGGGCGTTCCCCTCCTCCTCATGTCAGAGAGGAAGAAAGGAAACTGATAACTGGGATGTCCAAGGGCAGGGCCCTTGTTAAACTTCTCTTTAAGGTTCCAAAGACAATATCATCCTGATCTCCCCAAATAAAAGGACCAAGTTTGTTGGTTTTTAGAAAACATATAAGGGCTGGGCCTTAAGAGAGAAATTTGGAATTCAGTTTTAACAGTAGCCAGCTACCCAAAACACCTTGTAATTGGGCTGAGTTTCAGGTTTGGGGAAGTTGAGAATACTGTGCAGCCTATGGGGATCTAAATGTAGCTTCATTCTGAGATCAGGTGCCCTAAATACTGAACCTGAGTTTGAGCAAATGGCAGTTTTTCCTTAGAGACCTTGTGTCCCTTTAAAGCTAAAAGGTTTAACAAGTGAATGCTGTCTTCCTGTGAAATTTTAGAGGAGAGCACAGAAGCAAACCGTCCATATGTTTTAACAAAGTAGAGCCTACAGAAAACTTTATTGTCCAGGTGAGCCTTTAAGGTTGGAGAAGTAAAAGGGACTTTCAGGGCCTTCCCTGGTGGTCCAGTGGTTAAGACTCACCCTCAGGAAGCAGTCCACAGAGCAGTCACAGGGTGATTCTGCTCCTGGTAGGAACGGATGCTCGTCTTAGATGGGTTTAGGGACCACAGGGTGCCAGGGGTAACGATGTTATGGATTCCAGAGATCCTGGACAGACCTCCATCCTCAGCCATTGCATTTCTCATGGGCAAAACAGAATGCTACAGGGACTGGCAGAGCGAACATGTGGCCCTGGCTTTGAAATCTTCTGCTATGAACTTGATGCCTCTAAGGACCTCTATTTAATTATAAGGTATTGGTTAATTCTGGGGAGAAGTTTTGAGGGATATGTTTAAATATTAATAGGAGAACACTAAATTCTGTGAATTTCAGTTGGAGATTTTTCATATAAGGAGAGCAGTAGCTGATCCAGTGGTGACCAGTGATTAGTGTC